GAATATATAGTGAGACCCAGTCCCAAGAAAACCCAAAAGAACAAACTAAAAAATAATCCTTTGAGTCACTAAGTTTACTTCAACTTTGTGGTGTTGAGAATACTATATCTCTTGACCAGGCTGAAACCCTGACAATACGAAAGGGAAACATACGGCAGATTTTTTTTTTTCTTAGATTATATACTTGTGACTTGGAGAAACATCCTAGCGTCTGAGACCAAAAAAAAAAAAAAAAAAAAGATTATAAGGAAGTCTTAATATTTTCTCTCTTTGGCAGGGTTTAATAATTTGAGGCAGTGAAATAACCTTACAGTACATAGGTAAACAGGAAAAAAAAATCAGACAAAAATACATGAATTGGCAAAGGAGAGACAAAAATGTGACACTCAAGGAAAGTGCCTGATGATTGATATTCATATATTGCACAGAGAGAAATAGCCGGGGGATGGGGGTGGGTAAGATACAAGCCATGGGAGGTTCAGGAGAGGAGCTACAAAGCCATCAGAGTGTCTTGTTAATGCAGCAGCCCTCAGAAGGACTACTATGGTGTAATCTCTCTAGGGCAGATATCAGACCCCCTGTACCTTCTTCATGTGAAAAGAATTTTTATAGGCAGGCGGGGCATCTTAGAGAGGGCCTCTGCCTGCATCCCCTGCTTATTTTTCTAATGTTAATAGATTTCTTTTTAAGTTTTTTTTCCCAAAAAAGTACAGCTTTTCAGAGGTATCCCTATGACTGCAGAGGTCTGTAGTTTTTCTGAATAACCAACTTGAAATGTACCAAAGGAGAATTTTGGAGGTAGCCTAGTTTGATCTGCCTCAAGACAAGAGAAAACTTTTTTTTTTTTCCACAAAGAATTAACTGTCTCTTCTGAAATAGAGGTGTGGGGCAAGGCAAAATTCCAGTCTGGATAACTAAATGCATGTCTAGGTTTAAGAAGAAACTAACGAGTGAGTTACTACTACGGTTTTAACTTCATAATTCACATAGTGGATTTTTGTTGTTTCTAAAATTATTTTATGATAATTATAGAGTCACTGGAAGTATAAGAACTAGCGCAGAGATAATGAGATGCAAAGGAAATTGCAAAAATAACAATCCACTTTTCTTCAGTTCCATCTTGCTTAATTGTAGTTCAATATCAAAACCAGGAAACTAGTACTTTACAGAATGTGTTTATTACTCTGCGTCATTTTATTATATATGTAGATCTGTCGGCACCACATTGTTCAAGGTGCATCGTCACTCATCATCACACAACTGCCTTGTGCTGCCCCTGTGTAGTTGCATCTGTCTCACTACTCCCCAAACCCTGGCAGCCACTTGGTCCTCCATTTTTATTGTTTATTGTTGTGTGAGATGGTCTAGTAGTATCTTTCAAAGGAGGAAATCTTTCTAAAGTAGAAACTATAACTTTATTAGGTCTTCAAAAATACTTGTTCTTTACGTTTCTTTAGAATGGAGCACTCCAATGATGTGTAAACCCATTTGTTCCCAAATAATGTATCATCTTTATCCCCCCACAACAGAATTTTCTTGAAGTGGGAAAGCATTAAAAAATTATGCAGAAATGTAAGAGTTGGATAGATTTTTTTAAAAACTCACCATTTTTTAAATTTGAGGAGTCATAAAAACTAATGGTGCTGCGAATGTAGCTCGGTGGTGGAACTTTTGCTCGGGGTATACAAAGTACTGGGTCAGTCCCCAATACCAAAAATGAAAAAAAATTGAAGTTTTTTTAAATGTAAAAAATGAAGATGATAGTTTTGTCTGGGTTTCTTATTTATGATGATAAGTTATAATGATAAAGACACCTAGATTGTATAAAGCACTTAGATATTACTTGTTTACTATTTTATTGCTGTTATTTCATTTAAAAAATAGACATCTGTTCTCAGGATGGGAAAGACTTCTTTAAAAATAAAAAACAGGCTCACAAGAAGACTGAGAGGATATTCTTACATAAGTTTTCTTTGAGTGGCAGGCACACAGGTGTGATTCACACCCTCACCTTACCTCTTTTCTCAATATTTAGCAACAAACTAAGCTCATAGTTAGGGAAATTAAGGCAATAATGTATAGAAAGAAGCGCATATACATAGTTCTGATAATATTTAAAGAAGTGACAATATAAATAATCCTAGTGGTAATATAAATAATTATTTTGGAAGGCAATTTGACAAGTGTCAAAGCCTTGAAAAGGTAATATGCTCTTTGACCTAGTGATTTCACTTCTAGGGCTATATTTCTAGGAAATGATCATAAATATCACAAAAGATGCAACATCACTTAGGAAAATGAGATCAGCCTTATGTAAAGGTCTATAATTGGGATTGAATTCTGTATCAAATGACTACTTTTGTGTGATTTGATTAGTTTAATTGTCATTTGATGGACACTGATTATAGAATTATAAATTTGGAAATTATATTAATTGGTTAAAAATATTCTGAATATTTATGGATTTAATCCTAGGGATTTGCCCCAAAATAAATTTTTTATGTAGATGTCTAAGTATGCTGTGGTTTTAGAAAAAACAAAAATGTTTCCTAACAATTTGCTGCTTTTTATATCATTGCCATATAATGATCAACTTATATTAATTGTGTCTAAACATTGTCTTTCCAGACACGGTAAATATGAAATGAGCATGTATCTGGGCTGCGTATGAAGCAGTATACACTTGATCTTGTTATTTTTTCAAATTGGAAAGTTCTCATCTCATGTAAGAAGTTAGTAATTCTTACATTATCCCTACCAGCACATTTACACAATTCACTTCTTTTCCCCATGTAGTTAGTTCAGTTTTGACTATGTAGCTGTGTTTTTTAGTTATACTCTGATTACTTACTCAAATTTTGGTTTTCTTGAGCTAAGAATTTACTTTAGCTGTCTGTATCTGTCAAGAAGTGAATGTAGTGTATTTCTCTTCTTCATATGTTGAAATACATCGACTTTTGTTTCATTTTTTTTAGTCCTATTGCGTCCCCAATATCTCTTCTCGAGCTCCACTGTAGGGTGCTCTTCTTAATGTCCCAGGATCACCTTTCCCTTTTCGTCAGGGAATTTCCAGTATATTCCGTGTTGTTCCTCAGATTCCAGGATCTCATGTCTCCCCCCTCCCTTCCCTCTTTTGTTTCCTTTCCTTTTCTTTCCCTTTCCCTTCCTTTCCCTTCATTCCCCGATTCCCCTTCTTTCCCCCTTCCCCTTTCCCCTTTCCTTGGGGTTAAAGCCTGGACCCTGAGCTTACTAAGCGCACTCTCCGCCACTCTCAGCTACCGCCCTCACCTTCCCTTTTCTTGGCTGGTTGGTTTTGTGAAGTATAGATTTTACTAGCTTCCCAAAAATAAATGCATGGAAGGCAGTTCCGTGAAATGTTTGTGCTCAAAACTGCCTATAGTCTTCTTTACTACTTAATTGATGTTTTGTTGGATATAGAATTCTAGGATTTTGAAGGCATTGCTTCAGTTGTCTCATAACTTCTAGGATTTTATGATCTCTTTTTCTCCATTGTCCTGCAGTTTTTTTTTATTCTGTGCTTTGACTTTTGTTGTTTTTAATCTGCTGTACCAAGCGCTAGGCAGGTCTTGTCTTGATTTTTAAGTTCTGGGCTATTGTATTGTATTATATTTTTATATTATTTTTCTCCATTTTCCTGTTACCCCAGTGTTGTTTTTTGCTCCTACTTTAAGCTTTTTGTTTAAAAGATTTTCTCACCTTCATCTCATAACCTTTCTATTGACTTTTTCTCATATTTTTTCATTTCCAGAAGCTTTTGTTTTCTTTCAGTATGTCTTTCTCCATATTTCTCTCTTTTTGGCTGACAGGTATGTTTTCTCATCTGTCTGACATGTAACTATATATTTTGTCTTTTCCTCATCTCAGTTTTTTTCTGATCCTTGACCTAACTTGAGTTTGTTTTTGTCTTGTTTTGTTTTGTTTTTTCTTTTTTCCTATGGATTCTATTTTCCTGTGATTGTGGCTGTTTTAAAAAGAGTTGGTAACTTACATGGGACCTTGGGTATCTTTGGCAAACTGAAGCCTATGGACAGAAATTATTTTTTTATTTTGTTTTGTTTTTTTGAGACAAGGTCTCACTGTGTGTAGCCCAGGCTGGCCTTGAACTTAAGGGGATCCTCCTGCCTCAGCCTTCTGAATGCTGGAATTACAGGCGTGTGCCACCACACCCAGATCTAGAAACTCATTTTCAGAATCAAATAAAATAAGTTTTATTACATTACATTTACCAGTATTTTTAAAGTGATTGTATGATAGTAAGTGAGCTTCTTTATGAACACATTGAATAAGATATAGAGGTGGGTCTTAAAACTGTCATAATTTTGTAGTAATTAATATAAATTATATTTTGAGATATTTACACTAACTGTAATGTGATAAGAAAGTAGCTCTGATTTTTTAAAAATTGGTGACATTCACATGTATAGCCAGAACAGTATAATCTATAATTTATGTTCCTAAAGAAATGTCTCATACTAGTTAGAGGTTGGTGTAGAATAAAAAGTGATTTAAAAAAAAACTTAAGTAATGTATCCAAGTTCTAGGGCTCTTTGAATTCTATTAATCAAATATCTGAAATCACTTACTGTCAGCTCGGAATAAGATACATAGAAGCTGATTGTGGGAGCCCCAAATAACTGAACGGGGCTCGACAAACTAGTAGTCTTCACTCTTAAGTTGTGGGATGCTAAGCTTTCAGTGCCTGCATCTTTCCTCTCGGGGTTCACATCTCTCCAGAGAATAATTCATCAGTATTCTGCCTCTGGATGAAAAGTTTTCCTCTCTTCTTTTAGACACCTGATTTCACGCTTCCTATATTCTAACAAAATTTACTTTTGTGGTTTTATTGAATGGCTATCAAATGAATTACGTTCTTTCCAAAAAAGAACAGAAATTGTCTTTAATGTTTTAAAAACCTTAATATAACAAGAAAACTGGGCTGTTTTTAATATTTACATTTAATTTTTACCTTAACATTACAGGAGCTCTCAAGTTGTGGTTGGAATAAAAAAGAAAAATATAGTTCTGCACCAAATGCAGTTGCCTTCACAAGAAGATTTAATCATGTGAGTTGTTTTTAAAATTTTGAGATTTAGTTTCTGAAATTAGTTCCTCAGTATGTGATTTTTCATTAGTCTAGTAACATCAATTCAGGGATATTTTTAGCCAGTAACTCTTCAAATATTTGTATATTCATCATCTTTTTTTCCTTTCTAAACACTATTGAAAATTTGTTAAAAGTTGACATTCTTTGCTGCTTGTCTATTTACTGTTCATTTTTTTCCATCTATCTTTATGCTCCATTCTGATTTCCTCAAATCTATATTTTAGTTCACTGGTTCTCTTCAAACGTGTTTTATCAGTTTCATGCTAACTACTTTTACTCTGGTGTCATGTTCTTATTTTTAATTTCTTAGATAATTTTGACCATTAATACTTTTTTTTTAAATGGGGATACATTTTAAAATGGGATACATTATGATAATCTAATACATGTATATAATATATATTAATCAAGTCAGGGTAATGAGCATTTCTGTCTCCTCAATGATAAATGATTTTTGTGTTGGGATTTCATATTCTTCTAGTCATTCTGAAATACATCATAAGTTGTTTTGGCCACTTGTTAATCTGTGCAAAAGAGAACCAGGAGTAATGAATGCAGTCTGTGTTGTGTTGTTGGTGCTGCTGATTGAATTTTCCTGCCGCTCTTCCAAGTATTCCTGTATTTAATTACCATTATTCCATTCTGTTCTTCTATAAGGTTGACTCACTGGTTCCACAAATAAATGAGAACATGTGGTATTTGTCTTCCTGTGTCTGGTTTATTTCATTTAACATAGTGATCTCCAGTTCTATCCACACTGCTGCAAGTGACACGATTTCTTTTTTTTTTTTTTTTAATGATATTCCATGATTTAAATAAACCATTGTATCCATTTATCCATTGAAGACATCAGGGTTCATTCCGTACTTTAACCATTGTGAATAGTACTGCAATAAATGTGGCCATACAAACTAATATCTTCCTTCCTTCCTTCCTTCCTTTCTTGTACCTGGGATTGAACTCCAGACCTTGCGCTTGCTAAGCAGGTAGCAGAACCACTGAGCTAAAGCCCCAGCTAGTATCTTTTTGGTATAGAACTTTTGACTTCTTTGGTTAAGTTTATTTCTTTTGTTTTCTTTTCTGTTCTTTTTTTTCTTTCTTTCTTTGTAGCTGTTGTGAATGGGGTTGCTTTTTTAATTTCTTTTTAGCAGGTTTGTTAGTTACATGTAGAAATGCTTTTATATGTTGATTTTTTATCTTAGTTTACAAACATTGTTTGTTCTTACATTTTTTAATGGAATCCTTCTCTACATATAGAATTGTATGATCCACAAACATGGATAATTTAACTTTATTCTTTTCACTTTAGATGTCCTTTACTTCTTTCACCTAACTGCACTTGCTGAGCCTTCTAGTGCTGGAGTAAGAGTGGTAAAACTGGGCATCTTTGTCTTATTCCAGATCTTAGAGAAAATGCTTTTTCTCCACCCAGTATGATATTGGCTCTGAGTTTTTCATTACTTTTGAGGTATTTTCTTTCTATACCTACTTTGTCAAGAGCTTTTATTATGAAGAAATGTTTATTATATACTTTATCTGCGTCTGTTGACTTTTTTTTTTTTTTTTGGCCTCATTCTATTGATGTGTCTTTAGCATGTTTATGGATTTCTGTTTTATTGTATCCGAGGATGAGTCCCACCTGATCATGGTATATATGATCTTTCTGATGTGCTGTTTAATTTTATAGAGTTTTTTTTTTTTACATCTGTTCATCAGGGATATGGCTCTGTTGCTTGCTTGCTTTCTTGCTTGCTTGCTTTTTGTCTGGTGTAAGGGTAATGCTGACCTCATTTAAAAGACTGACAGAGTAAATTTGTATATATTTATTTTTTTAAGTTTTTTATCAGTATGTATTTGTCATACATAATGAGCACATTCATCATAGGGTATTTGTACCTGTATATAATACAGTACATATATCTTAATCCCCCCATTCCTCTCTCCTTTCAAGCTTTTATTTTCTTTAATGTTTTATAGAATTCATTTGTGAAGCCATCAGGTCCTATGTTTTTTTAAAATGGGAGATTTTTAAATTACTACTTCATTCTATTTACTAATTACTAATTATTGGCCTATTTAGATTTTTTATTCTTGATTAAATTTTTGTGTTCCCCTTTTGTTCATGGGTTATTTAGCTAAAGTTTTGTCAATTTTGTTTATCTTTCAAAATCCCAGGTCTGGTTTTGTTTGTTTGTTTATTTGCTTGTTTGTATTGCAGTACTGGGGATTGAATCCAGGGTCTTTACACTGAGCTAAAAATCCCAGTCCTTTCTAATATTTTATTTTGAGACAGGGTCTCACTGAATTTCCCAGGTTGGGTTCAACTTGCAATCCTCCTGCCTTACCCTCTCAGAGTCCTTAGTTATAGGTGTTTTACCACCAGTTTTGTTGCTCTCTTTGTTTATTTGTTTGTTTTTATATGTAGTTCAGGTTGTATTTCTGCTCTTTCCTTCTTCTAATTTCCTCTTGCTTTCCTAAGTCTTTGAGGTGCATTGTTAGGTTGTTTAACATCTTTCTAGTTTTTTGACAAATACATTTACTGCTATAAACTTTCCTTTCAGTATTGCTTTTGCTGTATTGCACAGACTTTAGTATTTTATGTTATCATTGTCCTTAATTTCTGAAAATTTTAAATTTTTTCTTTTAATTTCTTCCATTACCTGTTGGTCATTTAGGAAAATATTATTCAATCTCCATGTAATTGTAGACTTTTCATTTTTCTTGTTGCTTTGTAGTTTTAAATGATTGTGGTCTGAGAAAAAAGAAAATATCATTTCATATTTTTAAACTTGATTTATAGCCTAATATATGTCCTGTGCTAGAGAGTGTTCCATGTGCTGGTGAGAAGAATGTATATTTTGGTGCTGTTGGATGAATGTCTTGTAGCTCAATTTGCTCTGTACTGTGATTCAGTTTAGATGTTTCTTTGATGGCTTTCTGTCTGGGTGCTCTGTCCTTTGAGAAAAGTGGGATGGTGAAGGCCCCCATTGTTACTGTACAGTATTTGACTCTATCTTTTTAGAGTTAATGTTGGCTCTTTGTGTTTTGTGAACCCATGTGGGAAGTATATTGACATTTTATAGTTTCTGGATTATTTCTTGAAGTCCTTAGAGTACTACTTCTCTATTTCTGCTAATCCTTACAAAGGTTGTTAGATATATCTTGGCCATATTGATCCATTTTTTATCTTCTGGCATAGACTATCACTGCTGAAATGTTTGACAATAATTAAATTGTCTTTTCTCTAAAAATCATTTTTTCTACATGACTTTTTTTTTTTTTTTTTTTTGAGACAGGGTCTCACTATGTAGTTCAGACTGGCCTTTAACTCACTCACTATGTAGCCAGGCTGTATTCAAACTGAGTTATCTTCTTGCCTCAGCTTACTGAATGCTAGGTTTACAGGAGTATGCCACCACACCCAGCCATAATTTTTTTTTTAAGTCTACCAATTTTATATTTTGGTTTTGGTTATTATGGGTCAGTATTCTTAGGTGTGGTTGGCCTTAACTGGGGCTGTCAGTTAGAAGATAACTATACTTAGCCTTTTCCAGCATGGTAGTCTCGGGTGATTGGGCTTCTTACAGCCCAATTTCTTCTATAGTTCTAGGCTCCCAGAGAGAATATTCCAGCATTTGAAGTAGGACTACATGGTCTTTTATGATTTCCCTCTGGAATTCCACATCAGTTTTTCCAATACTTTTTCATCAAAGCAATCACAATTATGCCCAGATTTAGCTTTTGATGAGAGCAATGACAGCGAATTTGTATTTAAAAATCACAATAGTATTCATCTTAAAAATTGTCTACCATTAAATTAAATCAATAATCATACAAGTTAGATTTGAATTCATAGTTGATTTTTGCCAAGGTTACTGTTAAAATATCTTAGCTGGGAATGCAGTTTAGTGGCAGAGGATATGACTTACATGTACAAGGCCTGGGTTTGATCCCTAGCACCAATGAAAACCCTATATTGTAACAGAGGGTTTTCTTGTGGGGGTGTAAGTAAATCTTGTTACTATGGAGAACTATTGCCATTAGTAGTTCAGATATGGCAAGTATTACGTGTAAAATATAAATTTGTAAAATTTATATTTACATTTGCATGTCCATGTAAAGTATTTCTCATTTGAAAAGTAAAGCATTATCTTTTACTTTTTGCACCAAGATTTCTAACCACATCCTGTTTTTAGATTTGTATAAGTTTGAACTAACTTAACAGTATTTTGATTCAATTTTCATAATGCAAAAAATAAAATATAATATACTTATTACATCAGAAATATTTCCACCAAAACTTAAAGATCCTAATCTGCCTTTTGATTAATGAATTTTAAAGAAATAAAAGATTTTATTGAATTTTAAAATACTGTAAATTTTTTCAAATGTAATGTTTATTTGAGAATGCTAACTTGGTAATACTCATACATTTTGTTTTCATCTTAATTGGGAATCTTCACCTTTAAATGGCAATGTAGGACTATACAGCCACCAAAAAGGAAAAGCAACAACAGGGCCGGGGATTTAGCTCAGCACTTCGGTGGCCTGCCTTGCAAGCACAAGGACCCAAGTTCAATCCCTGGTACCAAAAAAGAAAAAACAACAACAAAAACCCTACCAGTAGGATCTTTTGCAAGGTCTGCTTATTTATTTATTTATCTTTATTTTTTTTTTTACCCCCCCTGTACCAGGGATCAAACTCAGGACCTTGCACTTGCAAGGCAGGCATGGTACCACTGAGCTAAATCCCCAGCTACAAGATCTGCTTTCAGATCTCATCTAATTCTGCCACTATGCTTCAAAATACAGTAAAGGAAATAAAATACTTTTTATTTGTATAGTCTTCATGCTGCATTGTCCTGGTTGTGTTGCATTCTTTTAGAAAGCTCTTTTCCCTAACACTTCATACTAATTTTTCAAATTAATGATGTGTGTGTGTGCGCGCACACATACATTATCTGTATCTGTGTCATTATATGAAAAGTATGTAGTATTTGAAAATTATGTCTTGGTAATGTTAAAGGAAAAAATGAATCATTGTATTTTAATGCAGCTCTAGGAAGTTCGCCTGGTCATTTTTGTCATTAATTTGATCCTAGCAAATTAATATTGCCTTGAAATTTTGAATTTTTATTTTCAGGTGAGCTTTTGGGTTGTTAGAGAGATTCTTCATGCTCAAACATTAAAAATTAGAGCAGAAGTTTTGAGCCACTATATTAAAACAGCTAAGGTAAGCACAACTTGTTTAGTTCATTCAGAAATGTTTTAAGTGAATATTTGCCAGTAATACTTTACTTATTGTTTATTAATACTAGAAAATAAGGCTTGTTAATGTTTGTTTAGTTGAATGCCTATTGAATGCCTTTTCCTTTATCTTGCTTTCTTCACCTTTCTTTTACATCCTTTTTCCTTCTCCCTGAGTAGCTAATAAATAAATAAATTTCACTGAATAAATACTCAGAGGTCAGATTATGTTAACATACGATATTTATAAAATATTACATGATTTTGAAGGTGATGGAAAAAGCTATATAAGATTAAGTAGAAGAGTACATAGCTGTTTTTCAATTTACTTTCGAAATAGATCACCCTACCAGACATATGTAGAATAGGAATTCTTTTATTTTCAGAAGAATAATACAGATAGGGCTGGGATTTAGCTCAGTGGTTCTGCTGCCTGGCTCACAAGTGCAAGGGCCTGAGTTTGATCCCTGCTACCAGGAAAAATAAAATAAAAAAATATAGAGATGTTACCAAATATGTTCACTGAACAGTTATTGTGTGGTGCAGATAATGCATAACAGCAGGAGAGAACAAAATAGGACATTCCCAAAAAGGACACTGAGATAAACCTGTAACAATTCCAAATTTATGTTACATTCACCAGAGGTGTGTTTAATTATAGCCACATTGGGTTTTTTTATGATTCTTGTAATACATGTATAACTTACCTCACCTGTGAACAAAAAAGGTAGATTAAAGTGAGGATACCATGTTTGTTTCATAACTCTTTCCATAGTTTCCTTGAGCACATGGAAACAATTGTATTCTAACAAATTCTGGGGCACTAGGTGGCAGAGCTTGCCTTCTACATACGTGTTATTTTTCAGAAGTGTCATAAAAATTCAGAAACATTCTTTGTGACAAAGTAGATAAATACTGCTATTTAGGAAAATAGAAGTTAATGGCTTTTCTCATAGATTGTGAATTTCCATTTTTTTATAATTTTAGTTTTTTTGTTTGCTTCTATGCTCTACTCAGCATCATCAAGATTTGTTCATTAAATCTGTCCCATCTTTTTCATCATTAAATGATTCAATTTCTGTTCAGACTCTCCAAAGACTTTGAATTATATCTGACAGCTTAGCCTCTATCTCAGACCCTTGTTCTCTCATCACTGTCTCTTAAATCCCTCTGTTCTGACTCTCTGCTTTCTATATTTCTATATTTCTAAACTTTTTCCTTCAGTAGATTGTGCCAACTAGTAACATTCTGTAAAAATACATTGTATAGCTTTAAAAACAAAATACATGAAGAGATATAAGGAGTTGCTTCAATTGATTGTAGGGGCTTGCAAGTATGAAATCTGTCAGACATGCCAACAGACTGAAAATTCATACAGGAGTTGAAACAGTCTTGCAGCAGAATTTCTGCTTTGTAGATCTTTTTTCATTCTTACAAATATGAAGATTAACACAATGCCTAGTCTGCCATAAATGCTTAATATATGTTTAGTAAATAAAAAGTTCCCCAGCTCGATAATACGACCTTTCTGAAAGTGTCTACCCTGTTTTATGTTTATTATTTTGTTTTTATTTATTTTCTTTTAGTTTTCAGTGAAATGCCTCACCTCTGGCATTTTCTAGACCTGGAGTTTACCTGGTAGCAGAGTTAGGAAAGTTCTACGATTACTGGCTTTTAGATAGAACTCTTGGGGTATATGAAGTAGTGTGAAAAATCCAGGAAATTAGCAATATATGTCAAATAGAACTCTTGGCAAGTGGATGGTATCTGGTGTTACACATTTTCTGCACACAGACTCTAAAAATGTCCCAGAATGAATAAAAAACAAAGAATCTTAGGTTTGGGACAGAAGGAAGCTGGAACTTGAGGTCAGTGGAAACCCAGTTTGAATCATACCCCTGGAATAATGAGAATATTTGGCAGGAAAGCAAATCAGAAACCTGAGTAGACCCTTTCTTGAAACTTGGAACATAAAGTTGAAGATTAGTAATATTTCATTATAAGGAAAGAGACTTACTAGAACCAGGGTACATGTTCATACCAACTAATTTGGTACTGAATAATTGGGTTTTTAAAAAATACATTACACAGTTAGAGGTAGATTTATTCCCAGAATTTGGAGATAGTGGTCAGGGTAGAAGATGGAATTTTTATTATAGGCCCAAAACAACTTACCGTAAAGATAGGTACTCTAAAGACAAATCTCAACATTAGAAGTAAATTAAATATTAGAACAGTATCAGTTGCCAAAATTGTGCTTGTCACTCTGTATTTATTTTATATTCACTTTTAAATTTCTTATTCCTCCCTCTTTTCTTAAATCCTCAGAAATTGTATGAGCTGAATAATCTTCATGCACTTATGGCAGTTGTGTCTGGCTTACAAAGTGCCCCAATTTTCAGGTTAACTAAAACATGGGCGGTAAGTAATCTTCCTTAGTTAATGAAAAGGTTAACTTTCCTGCAGAAAGTAAAGGCATTAGTTTTTTTGTAATTCTTAGTATTATTAATATTACGGTAATAGATAAGTTTTAAATTATTTTGTACTTTGTTCTTTGAACTCTACATTTTCTCTGAAGTGTTCTATCAGATTTTTCAGGTAATTTGTAGGTAGCTTACAGTTTGAAATTTGGTTTATGCTCTTTTAAGAATCATTTTTGTAACCTTTTTGATCATCTTTGATAATACACTGTTCCATATTCACCTGATGGATGATGAATGCAAAAAATGACACAATCATGTTAAGATTACAATTTTAGGAAGTTTGAGAAAAATTTAAATTGTAAGTTTGAAAAAATTTAGTGATTTATACTTCCATTAGTTTTTAGTCAGAGTCTTAGGGTTTTTTTTTCCTTAAGACTAGTGGAAAATATGATGATAAACATGAAATCATTATATTCTACATTTTGATGCTATGTTAATCATATTTGGTTCTATCATTTTGATGAGATAAAGTGTGAATTTTGATATCTGCAACTACCTAATCAAAACATAATATGTGAGGGCCAGGGCTTTAGCTCAGTGATTCCGCCACCTGCCTTGCAAGTGCAAGGTCCCAGGTTTGGTCCCAGGTTTGGTCCCCAGTACCAAAAAAACAATAAAACAAAACATGTATGTGTTTAAATTTTTTAAACTTTATTGCAGTACTGTAAAAAACACATTGCCATTAATCCCCCTCAGAGTATTCCCCTCACTTTGAATATACTTATCCCATCATCATTCTTGCTACTTTCCTTTTGTTGTTGTTGTTGGTACTGAGGATCAAACTCAGGACTTTGTGCTTGCATAGCAGACACAAACACCAGTGAGCTAAATCCTCGGCCCTCTTGCCACTTTGGGAAGCAGTTCTAGAAATCTTTTGCAAGTATTTTGGCAACATTGAAAGAAAAGAAAATTGTGACTGCCACTGCTCAGTGCCATTCATGGAAAGGCAGGCTGGTAAAACACAATAACAATTCCTTATTCACCAAATCTGGCCCTGCGTAACAGCTGCCTCTTCAGTCAAAATGCCCATAAAAGGTACATGTTCTGAATCAGTTCAAAACCTGAGGCAGCCACAACAATATAACTAAAAACAATCACCATATAACGAGAATTGTGTTTAACTGGAGTTGGGATTTTTCTACAAGTGTTTGTACCAGAGTGTAGCACAAGAGGTCAAAAAGGAAGTATCTGAGTTGTTTTACTGTTAAAGAAACTAAGCCAAGTAAATTAGGGAGATGATGAACAGCGAGAAGGTAGTGGTTACTGGATTAGAAGTCCCAGTGGAGTCAAGTAATTTGCTGTATTCAAGATTACAGAAAGAGTAGAAGCTGAAAGGGACAGAGAGATCAGGTGATTAGAAAAGTCAAGAAATCAGAAATCCCAGCATATTGGGAATATTGTCTCTGTGAAAATTGCAAGCAGTAATATTTTTAATAATAATTTTGATTCATTGGCTCTTTTTCTCCATCTTCTAAAGTCCTCTAGATACATAGAGAAAATTACTTGTAGGTAAGTAAAGGCCAGTAATGTAAATGTTGCAATCTAATGTTCCCTTGTTTAATACAGTAGTTACTAGCTACATGTGGCTGTTAAATTTAGGTCATTAAAGTTAAATTAAAAATTTCAGTTCTTCAGCCATACTAATCACATTGCAAGTGCTCAGCAGCCACATGTTGCCTGGTGACTGTTGTACTGAACAGTTTATAGGATTCTATCATCACACAAAATTTTGTTGGACAGCATTCATCTACTGATGCCTTTAACTTGATAAATAGTGGAAAATTTTAGAGAGGAGAGTGGAGAAAGTGCGATGATAAGTTGGAAGAGATTGTGAAGAGCAAGGAACAAAGATTATGTGCAACTGACCTCTAGATTTAAAAGAAATAAGATGATTAGAGCAAAGGTTAAAGGCTGGAATTTTGCAGAGGAGGAGCATGAGTTTCAGAGGGTACAATTGGAATGGTTATATTGGATCAAGTTAGAAAAAATGTTGAGTTCCGTATCTACTAGATTTAAAATTTTTAGTGAATAAAGAATTGAGTGTATTTCGGTATCCCCTCACCCCATACTGGAGATTGAACTCAGGATCTTGTGCTTGCCAGGCAGGTGTAGTGCCATTGAGCTACATCCCTGCCTTGTTGTGGGTTTTTTTGTTTTGTTTTGTTTTTTATTTTTTAAGTGATAATGGAAATGTGTCATAAGTACATCTGTAATAGGGAAAATACTAGAAATTTTCTCTTTAACATCAAGGAAAAGAATACCCATCATATCTTTTTCTATTCAACATAAAAATATCCTGTGCATTATAAAAAATAAGAAAAAGAATCTTTATCTGAGTAATAGGGGGAAATAAAAATTGTTTATGATGTTCACTTACCTACAAGACAACCCCAAATAATTTGCAGAAAATTGTTAAAAACAAAAACATTTTTAAAGCTGAAAAAAAAAATTCTCCTTAAAAATTGAATATAGAATTCTCATGCAATCTAGCAGTTCTACTTCTGGGTATATATCTAAAAGAGCTGAAAGAGGAGACACAGATTTGTTTGTTTGTTTACTAGCCATTTGTTTGCTTGTTTGCAGTACTGGGGATTGAACCCAGGGCACTGAGCTGCCTCTCCAGTCCTTTTTTCATTTTGAGACAAGGTCTCACTAAGTCACTGAGCTACCCAATCTGAGCTTGAACTTGGGATCCTTCTTCCTCAAACTTCCTGAATGGTGGAATTACAGGTGTGTACCACCACACCTGGCTGACAGATACTTTTGTGTTAGTGTCAGTAGCAACAATTATTCACAGTAGACAAAACATAAAAATTCAAACCTCTATATAAGTAGATAGATAAATGAAAGGTACATGCATACAGTGGGATATTATTCAAAGGAAATTTTGTGATAATGCTGTACCGTGGATAAATCTGGCAAATAATTATGCTATGTGAAAAGAGAGGACTGAAAAGGACAAATATCATTTCACTTCTTTGAGGTACATCAAAATTACAGAGACAGAGTAGAATGGTGGTTGCCAGGGACTGCGACAAGTGAGAATGGGGAGTTATCATTTGATAGATACAGGGTTATTATGGTATACATCTTAATTGTACCTCAAAGGTTCGTGTGATAAAGGGTTGGTTGGTCCTAGGCTGGTGGTTCTGTCAGGAGGTTCTGCTCTTTGGGAAGTGAGGGGGTGTGGCCTAGTAGAAGGATGTTAGATCATCGAGGGCATGCCTTTGAAAGGATAATGGGCCTCCAGCCTCTTACCTTCTGTCTTTCCTGGCAACCACGAGATGAGCAGATGCACTCAACAAAGCACTCCCCACCATGATGTTCTTCTGTACCACAGGCCCAGAGACAAATGACCATGAACGGAAACCTTAAAACTGGAAATTCCATAAGCAAAAGAATATATCCATTACAAAACTACTTAAAATAGTTAAGACATGGAAGCAACCTAATGGACTGAATAGATGATTGGATAAAGAGTATAGTAAAGTAATGTTAGAAGGAAGTTTTGTCCCTTGCAACAACATGAATGAATTTAAAGACTATTATCCTAGGTAAAATGAACCTAACAACAGAGAAATATACCATGTCTCACATGTGGGGTCTCAAATCTAACACATAAAGGCAAAGAATAGAAGGATAGTTTGGGGAGTGGAGGAAACTGGGAGATGTTGGTCAACGGGTACAGTGTTTCGGTTACGTAGAATGAGTGAGTTCTGGAGACCTAATGCACAGCATGGTGACTGTAGTTAATAATTCTATGTTGTATACTTGAAATTTGCTAAGAGAATCAATATTAAAGATATTTTTACTATTTTTTTTTTACTATATATACACAAAAGGTAGCTTTGAGGTGATGGGTATATTAATCAGGTTGGTACACATTTCACTATACATAGCTCAAAACATGCATTTTAAATACAATTTTTATTTGTCACTTATATCCTAAAAATACTGTAGGGAAAAGATTGATTTAAAATATAGGAGGAACAGAGCTCCAGTGGCGCAATCAGTTAACACGCGGTACTTATATATAAAATATAGGAGGAAGGATCGCTGTGAGTTTGAGACCAGCCTGGGCTACGTAGTGAGTTCCAGGTCAATCTCAACTGCATGGTGAGACCCTGTCTCAAAAAACCAAAAAAAAAAAAAAAAAAAAAAAAAAAAAAAAAAAAAAAAAAAAAAAAAAAAAAAAAAAAAAAAAAAGAAATAGGAAGAGGTCCTGAAGAAGGAAATGGAAGTTAGAGACATGGGCCCTGTAACAGATACCGTATTTATTGTATAATTTGAGCAGTGTAGGATTTGAGCAAGTTCAGATATGTCTACCAATAATAACAGAATAAAAAAGCCAGAAATAGATCCTTGCTTTAGAATGTTGATGTGATAAATAGATTGTAAGTCCATGAAGAAATAGATTATTTACTAATTGGAACTTGAAAATAGGTTATTAAGACAAAAAATAAAATCTAGCCTCTGCCGCACTTAAAAAAATCATTGTCAGGGCTGGGGATTCAGCTCAGCACTGCCTGGCTCCCAGGTGCCAGGTCCCAAGTTCATTCCCTGGTACCAAAAATCATTGTCAGACGAATGTGAAGTGCAAAACTTTCAAAATTCTGGAAGAGAAGTGGGTGATTATCTCTCTTGGCGTGGCATAGATAGGGATTTTTTTTTTTTTTTACATGCACAGTGTTCCAGAAAGAGAGAAAAGATAGATATATATTCTGTTTATCAAAAGACCTTTCATCTTTAAAGAAAATTTAAGAGAGCAGGCCAGGGTATAGGTACAACAGCTGTAAATGATCAGGAATTTATTAATAAGAACTGTAACAAAGCAAAAAGAAAAAAATTAAAGTGAGCATTATAAAGCTTTTTTTTAGAAAAGAAAGTACACACAGAAGCAATAAAAGTGAGCAACCTATTGCTTCGACTTCATGAATGAAATCTTAATGTCAGATTTGAGAAAACAAAAGTGGTTGTCATATTGTGGGGTATAGCTCAGTGGTAGAGCTCTTACAAGAGGCCTTGGGTTTAATTTCCAGAATTAGCAGTCTCCCTCAAATACAAGTACAAATAATAAATTATTTTTTGTGGAAGACTATAAACAATATATGATACTCTGTAGTCAGAATAAAATAAAATATAAGGAAACGATGAACCCAAGATGTAGGATTACTGTTACTCGTTGCTTAAAGATAATCAAGGAAATTGGATATAGAAGGAACATGGAAGTGGATAAATTACTGGTGTGTAGTTCTTATATAGGAAGGTATCAGATGTAGATTTATAACAAACTCATACCAAGAACAAATAATAGTTGATGGATGTCATAATCAAAGGATTATAATCCGTACCCAGAGTAAGAGATTCATAAATATTTATGTGGAAAAGTATATTCACACTTATTTTACAAGAATGCAAGTCAAGGTATGAGGGGAAATCTGAGAGTCTTACATTTCTTACAGCAACTGACATGAGCAAGTATATTGGTTTTGTGTGTGTGTGTGTGTGTGTGTTTTATTTTTTTGAGACAGGATCTCTCTATAGTTCAGGATGGCCTTAAATTTATGGTATTCCGCCTGCCTCAGCCTCCCAAATGCTGGGATTACAGGCATGTACCATCACATCCAGCATGAGTAGGCATCTTGTAACATTAGGTGAATAAAGAATCTGTCCAGAAATCTGTGGGTCTCCTTTTTTAATAATATAAAAATATGAAGAGTTTTTCCCCCCAGTTGTCATACTCTTGACCAAAAAAAAAAAAACTGATCATGAGAAAAATCTGGAGAATTATAACGTGAAGTACTTCGTTTTTGTTTTTGATTTTATTTTTGTTTTTGTTTCTAGTGGGGAGAATATAATGAAATAATATTAAAGATCATATAAACATCAGAAAAAAACTGAGAAAGTTAAGACTTCATAGTTATATCAAGGTTCTGAGTACCAACAGGGAAATAGTCTGTATTGAAGTGGTTCTTTATATTCTTCTGTTAATCTGCCACATACTGAAATGAATCTTACTAATCTGGTTTTTGATTTATTATGAAAATTTCAAAAGTAGATTTTTACTACAATTTTGTGTTTCATATGTAGCAAGATCAGTGAAGAGTTCCAAAGAATTTGTTTCTCTTAGTGTTTTTTGAGTGTGTGAATTATGATTGGTTTATTGTTAGTCCTACAATATTCTATAACTGTTTTGCTCATCTGAATACTTTATTCAGAATGGTTGATTTAATTGACTGGTGACAAGCAGAGTTTTGCACCTTATCTGGAGAATGCTACTAAATTGTGTTGAAGTGGGTAAAGGAGAAGATTATAAAACTACGTAGACACTGGAATTTTATCTAAAACTTTAAAGCAAATGACTCATTGAAATCATATTTTAAAGGAACACTATTCATTTTTGTGATAGAGATTATCTGAAGGTAATTTGCGTCTTTGAGAGACTTAAAATTGCTCAGTCATAAAAAAAAAATAGATTCCAACTGTATTTTTTGTAGTACTGGGAAAACTAGATTTCAGAATATTCTGTCTCCAGGGCCAGACTTTGAGACCTAGAAAAACAGACACGGATTTATGAGTGAGTACATGACTTGAGAGCACTAATGTATTCTGTTACGTGCTAATCCTGTGGTCATCTTTGAAGTTACAGTCTGCTCATCTCTAAATATTCAAAGTTTTCTGTCAAACTTATAGGAAAATTAAATGAGAATTATATAGGGGAAGTGTTTTGCTTGATATGAAATAAAGTGAAATCTTATTACATACTAATGAAATAGTTTTGTCATACAGTTAAAGAAGAAAACTTTCACCAGTCTCTGATATGATTAAAAAATTTTTCTGAACCTTTTAGTTAATATTGTGGGTGGCTTGCCTACCTTGCATGTCTTTTACTCCCCCTTGATTATTTCCATTGATCTCAAATAGCACTCATTACAAATTTACTCTTCAGGCCTCTTAAGTTACACTAACAAATGATAAAGTGGTGTCAAGGACAAAAAGTCTTGTCAGAACTTCAAAATTTAGGGAATTAGAAACTTTATTAGGACTAACCATCATTAAAATTGTCAAGAAAAATTGTTACCACAAAATTCATTATTTCTTTATGATTATGCAAAAATGATCTTATCTTTGAGGAGGTAGTCAATAAAATATTTAGGCAGTAGAGCTGAATAAGAATGTATAATTTACAAAAATGATCGATAGATTGCTTAATCATTAAAAATAGTAAAGATGAGAAATATGTATTACTAGTTAATTATGTACATACAGAGACTGTTTTATAAGTAATTTGACTTATTAATAGATATGGCTGACTTTATTTGTATACTAAACAAAATATAATTAAGGAAGGTATAACTTTTAAATTAAAATCCAAATTTATAGTAAATACAACTTCACATCTTTGCTACAATAAAATGGAACTTGTAAATAACTTAGGCTTTTCTGTTTGTTTTTTAGTTATTAAGTCGAAAAGACAAAACTACCTTTGAAAAATTAGAGTATGTAATGAGTAAAGAAGATAACTACAAAAGACTCAGAGACTATATAAGTAGCTTAAAGATGACACCTTGCATTCCCTATTTAGGTGAGTTATGTTACTGTGTTTATTCCTAGTTGTTGCTCTTCCTTAATTAGTAGATAAGAAATTCAAGGCAATTTTTTAGTTTATGTATCTTGAAAATAAATTACTACAAGATTGCTAAACTGAAAAAACTGACAAAAGTTGTCAGCCTCATTACCTGGAATGTATTTTCATATTGAATTAGTCTTTTACCCTTAAAGTTTTTCATTGAAATGAGCCATATGATGAAAATGATGTACTTTAGCTGTTTTAGTAATGCTTTTAAAGATTGAAACAGTAGTTTACAGTGAGATTTAATATATTAACTGAAGATATTGGTCAAAGTTCTTATATTGTTGGCAGGTATTTTACTGTGAAGAGTAGTCTCAGTGAATATTGGTATTATTGTTTGCCTGCATAAAATCAGTTTACTATGGAAATTTACCTTACTGCACTGACAGTTCTGTAAATTTGTCTCTTTACTGTTACCTTAACAATGTTTATAGATTCCAAGAACTATTTAACCAATAATGTCATAAGATTGTTTTCAACAAAATATGAATAAGGCTGGGTGTTAGGTTTTTAAATGAAAACAAGTCCTGCGCAAACTGTCCTTTTAAATTTGTCTATAAATTAAATATGTTATATATTCCTAGCATACATTAAGTTGATTTGATACTCTGTAGAGTATTGAAGTGATAAATATTTGTTTATAGTATCTGTGGCTCCCATTTCTACTCTTCTAACTGCTCGAATTTAATTTCAAGATAAATACTTATGAAAGTAATTGAAAAGTTATTTAAGAGACTCCACAAACCTTTGAAGTCTGTACAGTGTCAGTGTTTAGAAGATAAGGCAGGGACTGGCTGTAATCCCAGCACTCGGGAGGTTGAGGCAGGAGAATTGCTGCGAGTTCAAGACCAGCCTGGGCTACATGGTTCCAGGTCAGTCTCAACTACATAATGAGACCCTGTCTCAAAAAACCAAAAAAAAAAAAAAAAAAAATAAGGCAGGGACAAAGATAATGGATAGACATCCCTTCAGCTGCTTAGTTCCTGGAGAAAAATTGAATTCATCCAATATTATGGAACCTCCTAGGATTGCATGGGGCGGGTATCCATTGTTGAAAGCGAAACGCCCTTCAGTTGATAGCCACTACATGGTATATATTTGCACTTCTTTTTGGAGACAGGGTCTCACTAGGTCTCCCAGGCTGGCCTCATACTCTTGATCCTCCTGCTGAATCTCTTGAGTAACAGGAATTGCAAGCTTGTATTCCCACACCCAGGCATGTGTTCTACTTTTTAACCATAATCTTGGCCGTCCCCATACTCGAATATATAGTTTGGGAGAATAGAAGTTTTAAAAAAATATCTTTGTAATTCACAAGAACAAGGTTTTTATTTCATGAAGAACGTTATAGTAGACTGAAAATTGGCAGGCAGTTTCAGAGGGGCTCTGCTGTATCTCTGCTTTCAAGACATAGAATTGTCTGTATTGGAAGTTTTCTTTGTTTTTCTAGAAGCGTGCATAGGATCAGAATCATGTTCTTAAGGCTGGATGGATTCATACTGATTTCTTTTCATTCATTTCCCAGTTGAAAAAACTTAAGTTTCAGGAAAATAAAAGACCTGACTCAGAGTCCTAAGACCTAATTAATGAAAACTCTGCCATCTGCAGTCTTAGTTTTGCATCCTCCATTTATACCTACTAAACTCTCATGCTAAGATGTATTGATTTTATGATTCTTTTCTTGTCATTAAATTGTCTTTTTCACACTAAATTCCCTAATTGGTATCTTTTAGTAAAAAATATTTTTATTAAAAATGAGGAAATAACAATAAATTCTTTTGTTCAACAATATTTGTTTTATATTTTCCGATAGTGGTGACTTTACATGAATTTTGGAACTGTGTATATGTGTATGTATACATGTTATGTACATATATTGATGTGCACACATGTATATACAGAGAGAGAAAAAGGGAAGAAACAACTAGCAAAGGTGTCTCTGTGGAATCTGGAAAGCCCTGGTACCTGAAACAAACAGTAGGTCATTCCTTTGGTTAAAGCATATAAGGCAAATACTGAGATACAGATGTTAATTTGGACAAAATATTAGAATGATTTTATATTATCAGTTCAATATTTAATAACTCCTTTTGTGTCACCTCCCACATTTTTAAAATAGTGCTGAGGACTAGACTCAAGGCCTCACACATCTTAAATACTCTACAATTGAGCTGTATTTCTAAGCCTTTTTTATTTTTTATTTTGAGACAGAGGCTTGTTAAGTTGTCCAGGCTGACCTTGAACCTGAAATGTTGCCTTGGCTCCCTGACAGGCATGTCACAAGCTGTCTCTTTCTTTTGTATGTTCTCATGACTTAGAATTGTGCCTTTTCTCTATCACCATAAGGTTCACTTAGCTAATAAAAAAAGTATCCTATTCTTACTGAGTTTTTGTTTGTTGGTTGGTTTGTTTAGTATGTTGTTACTTCCCTCTTCACTCAGTAGAAATTTTCTCAATAAGGTCACCATCAACTTCATAGTTGAAATATCTAATAGGTATTTATTTCTCAAGCTTCATCTTAATTTTGTGATTCAGATGGTAGTTATTTCTCCTCCTTGAAAATCTTCACAAGTAGCACCAGTCTTCTTGGTTTACCTTCCATACTTCTGGTTTTTATTTCACTGATTTATCTTTCTCTGTATTCTGGGTCTCAGTCCACTTCTTTGTTTATTCTTAGTGGAGTGGTCTCATTCAGATTCTTTTTATATATATATTGCTTAATGACTCTCAAATCTAGGCTAGACCTTGTATATCTAGCTGTCTACTTAATTCTTGAGGCCTCATAACATTTTAGATTCTAAAATATTGATAAATTAGTAATTCCAACATGTGGAAATGGACTCATCATCTTTTCCTCTTTTCCAAACCTGAGCCCCGTCTTTTAGCTTAGTCTACCAGTGATCACATCAGTGTAGCATTATCTGATGCTTATAATAGTAAGCATTTAGTAAATGTTTGTTGGTTCAACCAACTAAATGCCTTTCCGGCTCTTCCCATTGTTCCTGCAATGTTAATTGTTTTAATTTCTATTTCAGTACCATAAATGAAACTGTGTAGCCTAGTTCCATTATGAACCTCTATTTCTTATATTCTATATAGGTGACACATGTGTCTCAGATCTACCCAAGAATTAGAAACCAAAAAAGGAAAAAATGGTAAAATAGAGACCATACACTTTAGCATCTGTTTAATTTTATATATTGGTAGTCTTCCTATAGTTCATCCTTATACTATTACATGGAGAAACATGTAGATTATGGGATGATTATGGGCATAAAATTTAGGTAGATTTGAGAAATGAAACATTTGTCAGATAAGTTAACGCTGGCTCACTTAATTGTTTCAAGCGTGAAAATTATCCTTTGAGTGTAGCGTATACTGAATTTTATCTCAAGCCTTCAGAGTAAATCTGTTCAAAGCATTCTTGCTTTTAAAAATGTGAAACTTAACTCCTATACAGCTTTTTGACTTCTTGATTTACATCATAGACATGTCTCATTTTAAAAATTCCTGACCTTCACTAGTGAATTGTTTTAAAGAATGAAAATTTAACATTAATGTTCCCATACTTTGTTCTCATTTAAATTTAATTAGGCTGTGAGTTTTAAAGTTTAACTTAACCTTGATTTCAGAATCTTTTCCCATTCATATGAAAACAGACATAGTTCATTTACCAAAAACTTGAGCATTTATAAGATGCTGTACATTTGATAGCACAGAACTTGGCCTGAAAATGTTTCAAAGATAATAGTGAAAATGGTTGCCTCATTTAACTATTCTTTGGGTGTACAGAACGTGCATTTATCTGTTGTATTTACTAGAGATTCTTAAGGAAAGAATTTATCAACCCAAAGAATCAGTAGTGCAGGTTGAAAACATAACAGCTAATCTGTTTGTTAACATGAGAAAGATAGTCCAAACTAAGTGTTTTTTCTACTAAAAATAATTATCAAACACAACCATTCTTTGTGAAACTTAAAAAGAGGATAGGGATTGAATGGTGATTAAACTCGTTGTTTCCTCGCTGCAAAATGTATCTAACTCAATATGGATTAAATTATAAGCTGTAGAAAATGTAGTCTTGGCTTTCTGTTCCTCATCTTTTGAAAAATTGTCTCTTCTATTGGTTTGCACTCAGGTAAAAATTTGTCAGCTTGGACAATATAGTGAAAAATTCTTAGAACAAAGATGCAATTTGTCTAGAGAGGAATAGTTTGGCAAATCTTAAGGAAAAAATAGTTTTATATGAGAATTACTGTTTTAAATCTGAAAATCATTAACAGTACTCATTTGTTCTTTTCATTGGAGAATAAATAATCTTAAGGGGCTTGTTGAAGAATTTGGCATGGGAAGTTTTACTTTGCTGCAAAAAGAAAATGAGTGTCATACAAAAATAATTTAGTTATATGAAACATAGTAAATACTCTTTCATGTGTATTTGTCAAACCTTGTTTCTACTTTATTCATGTAATAGAGAGATGTAGTAATAGCTCGACAGGATTAGGATGCTTTCTCAGAAAGAAGGCATATTTTTATAACTATGAAAACAAGTAAATTATCTTAGTAATATGTATTGCTTACTCTTGAGTAGAAGCAGAATGTTACAGAGAAACTTTTGTAAAATCTCCAGCCCTTCTGCAAGACCCAAGTATACTGGTGTCTATATATATTTAACTCCTTTCTCTTTTTCTCCAGTCCTCTTCCCTCTTTTATCAACTTGAAATGTCAAGTTATCACAAGAGGTTTTTTGTTTTTTTTTTGTTTTGATATTGAGGATCAAACTTGGGTTCTTGCCACCTGCAAGGCAGGCCATGGAACCACTGAGCTAAATCCCCGGCCCCACAAGAGGTTTTTAAATAAGTTTTTGTTGTAAGAAAAGGCTTATAAGTTTCTGTAATACAGTGGCCCCTCCCAAAGATACCCCACTTTTATTTCTGTAATGATACATTCAT